AGTGCCTTGCATAATGACAGGTTTCAGAGTAACAGCCGTGTTAGTCTGTATTTGCAAAAAGAAAAGAGGACTTGTGGCACCTTAGAGACTAACCAATTTATTTGAGCATAAGCTATTGTGAGCTACAGCTCACTTCATCGGATGCATCCGATGAAGTGAGCTGTAGCTCACGAAAGCTTATGCTCAAATAAATTGGTTAGTCTCTAAGGTGCCACTAGTACTCCTTTTCTCCCTGATACTGTGACTCTTTTAATACTTCAGGTGCCAGATTTTGGGAGAGGGGGCTTCCTGCAGTCTTCATTCAGGATAAACTCCTATTTAAAACAGTGCTTTTCCTGAATGAACACTATATGATTGAGCTCATGGAAACCTGGGAAACTGACAGGAAACATTGTTATAACATTTTCTGGTAGGTAGACCACCCTGTTACATGATATGAAAGGCAGGTGTGCCAAAAAGTTACTGTTGTTTGGAAATATAACTTAATAATGAACCAAGCTAATTTCACAGCGGATCCACAACTGTTTCACATTCCAAGGCAGCTAAATATTATCCACTGTATTTGATTCACACTTAAATGTACAACTGCCTAGCGACAGTCATGAAGAAAATTGTTCAGTGCTTAGAAAGATCAGTAGCAGCCTGCTTGCTTCTTATTATCTATAATGAGATCATAATTATGCAATGTTGATTAGAAATGTCAGCCAGGTTCTAAGAATAAGTTTTAGCATTAAAGTACCTCTGTTAATAATCAACTAAAGTGTCAGTTATTTTGATAAATTGATTTTCAGGAATGTAGCTGGCCTAAAGAATGTAAAGGTCATCAAGAATACATCCCAGGCTGTGTTAATTAGAATTAGAGCTGTAATATGATGTTCAAGGCAGCAAGTACTATAGTATTGTATTTTCTGTGCATTAACCCTAACCTATCAGATCCCCTTGCAAAATCATGTCAAATTAATGTTTGCTATTTAGAAAAGTCATGTATCAAAAAAGGAGTTGGCATCAAGAAAAGAAGCCTATATTCTGATTTGGGAATTTACTTCTAGGGGATTGTATGGGGGCAAGAATGCAGTTTCTGAGGCCTGGTTAGGTCCTTTTTATGCCATTCCCTCATGTGGGACTTAAAGCTACCATGAAGAGGAGCAGGGATAATCCGGAGGAGGGGAGATCAGCAACTTCTGTTCTCCCTGTCTCATAAAACAAGACTAAGGGGACATTCAGTTAAATTAAATGGTGAGAAATTTAGAAGCAAGAGAAGGAAATACTTCTTTTTTTTTTTTTTTTTGCACATTGTGGAATTAAGCTGTGGAACTCATTGCCTCACTGTGTCATTAAGGCCAAGAACCTAACAAGACTGAAAAAGGGGTTGGCTCTTTATCTGGATACCAAGAATACCCAGAGTAGTAATAAATGAATGACAACAGACATTCTGGAAGAACTACTGAATCTCATGCTTCAGGGCTTAAACCAGTCTCTAACTATTAGCGATCAGGACGTGACTGTGACGAAGTGGGACTGTTCTTAATGTTCTCTCTGAATACTGTGTGGGTGCCTCAGTTTCCCCTATGCATTTCTTAAGTATCTAGGTGGTGGGATAAGAGTGTGTGATTGCTGGAGAGCCCTAGAGGGCCAGTGTGATGGTGTTTGCACAGAGAATGGCTGACACCCTGTCTCCTGGCAACTTATGGCCTGGGCCCCTCCCCTGCAAGGTGCCAACTGAAGGTGTTGGAGAACAAAGAGATCAGGTGGCCTCCTGGCCCAGGAAAGAGACAAAGGCGAGAGGAGGGGCAGGAGAGTTTCAGTTTGGATCTGGCCGGAGAGATGGGGGGAGGTCCAGACCTGGGGTATGGCCTCCGTGCCCCAAGATGGACCTGACTTAGGGGTCCTATTTCTATACCTACAAGCTCTGTTTTAGACTGTGTTCCTGTTGTCTAATAAACCTTCTGTTTTACACTGGCTGAGAGTCACGTCTGACTGTGGAATTGGGGTGCAGGGCCCACTGGCTTCCCCAGGAGCCTGGCTTGTGCGGACTTGCTATGGGAAGCGCACAGTGGGGCAGGGGATGCTGAATGCTCCGAGGCCAGACCTAGGAAGGTGGAAGCTGTGGAAGTTTCTTGCCCTGGAGACAGTCTGCTCAGAGAGAGGAGGCTCCCCCAGAGTCCTGACTGGCTTCATCTGGAGTACTTCCAGAGCATCGCCCGGTGACTCCGTGACAGTGACCTATATAGGGGAAAACTGTCCCACATCTGCCTGTCTTGGGGTTTTTGCATTTTCCTTACAAGATCTGGAACTGGCCACTGCCAGAGATTGGATACGGGTTAGATAGACTTTGGGTCGGGTCCAGTGTCACAATGCTTCTTATGTTGGGGAACCTCTCTTACACCCAGTAGCATGAAGAGACACTGCCCCCTCATTATTATTATTATTTATTATTTGTTAATTTATTTGTTTGTATTACTGTAACACCTGGAGCTCTAGTTGTGGTAAGTGCTGTACAAACACAGAACAAAGGCAGTCCCTGCCCCAAGGAGCTTACAATCTAAGTATTGGACAAGAGACAATAGCTGGATACAGATGGATAAAAAGATGGGAGAGTACAAGGAAACAATGAGACGGTATTGGTCAGCATGATCGGCTGTGGTCTCAGCATGCCAGCAGCCTAACTGTTGTCAAGTTTTTATAGACCTCACAGTCAATGAGAGTTTTGAGCATCTGGCACATTCTGGGGTGGGAAGGAGTTTGTACAGGGCAGGGGAACAAGCTAACATAATAATTCAGAAGGGAAGATACATTATCTTTAGACTCACACAGTTTAGCTTGCAAAAAAACCCACAAGTATTTGATTTAGGAGGATAAGACCCAATCCTGAAAGATACTGAGCATTTTGACCCTGATCCTGCAAAGCATGTGCATAGCTTTAAGCATCTGAGTCGTTTATTACATTCTCTACCACTACCAGCTGGTTTCTTCACTGGTCTGTGCCTCTACTGCCTACAAGGAGACTGTGCTATCAGTCTCGCCCTATCCTGAAGAGGAAAGGCGATGACTGTGCATTTGGAAAGCCGTCTGCATAGCTTGAAGCATCTGAACAGCCTCCCTGATGCACCTTTGAACTTTTTCCTCCTTCATTTGTTTGTCTTGAAGATAAGACTTCACAGCAGTGTTTGTAGTGAAGTCTAATGAGGACCAGTGTTTGCATAACAAGGCAAAGCTTCCCCTGCAGCCATCCAAACTTCATTATATTTAATTTATATTCCGGCTAATCTTTGAAAGTGTATAAAATGTGCAGCCAAAGTTTGTTTTTACATAGTTTGGAATAATATATTGTTTGTTTTAAATGGTCAGTTGCAACTGATAGTTGTTTTAAATGCAACATAATGATATATTGTGATGAACTCTGGGTCTCCTAGGGGATGCATTTGTGTCATTGACTTCCATTGCGTTAGCATTCTCCTGGGTCAATTATACATTTAAGGAGGAAAACAGAAGAGTGATTACTTCTTAGCTTACCAGACACTTTACTTCAGCACGTCTGCAAAACATTCTAGAGTCCATATCTCTAAAATCCACAAGCTTTCAAAAACCAGATTAAGTCACTTAATTTAAATTTAATTCCACAGGAGGTTGAATGACAGGTTACTTCTGGGTAAGCGGTGCTGGCAATCCACAAGGAATGGAAAAGATCACTCAGTCTTGGCACTTAGTATCGCTCTAATAGACGACTGTAAAGATTGTATCGATTAGAATGTATTTAGAAATGCTATCAAGAAACTTGGAGGCCTATTGTAGTTCTGCCATACAAAATAGAAACAGACAAATAATACCCTATGTTTAAATGTGATTTCACACTAGCCTACACGTTTTCCCTACACCCAGAACTTTCTCATGTAGTGAACAGCTCAAGAAATTTCAGACCATATAGAGGTGTTAATATTTAAGTGTCCCTGTTTCTAGAACATTCTAAGTGCCCTATTAATCTTTCTGTAGTTAAAATAGCTCATTTATTTAATCGATCATCTTTTCAGAGTTCTTTCAAATATGGGAAATGAATTATAACATTTAATCTTGTGTGTACTACAAGCTGAGATATAGGCCCTTCAGTCAGTTTACTTTAGCGTGACAGATGCTTGGAAACGCTCTATGGCATGTCATGAAAGTTATGATCATGGTTGTTTATATGTATAGCTCCAGAAGTATGTCATGTGCTTTCCACACAGAGGCATAAGTTGTCCATGATTTTCAAAAGGGACTAATGATTTTGGGTTGCTGTGTTTGGGTGCCCCGTGTTAGAGCCCTGATTTTCAGATGGTGGGTGCTCATCACTTTCCAAAAATCAGGCCCTTTTAAAGTGTCTCAAGTAGACACCAAGAAGCTGAGGCACCAATAATCACTAGTCACTTTTGAAAATCTTGGCTAAGGACCCAGCCTTAGAATTGAGTGAATAAAGATCCAAAATGCTCTTGCCCTAGGAAATAGTACCAGGTCTTTTTCGACAGGCATCTTCTCGTCCAAACTTCCATGCCCTCCATGAATTTTTTTTTTTTTTTGGAATTGAGAAGCTCTCCACAAACTTCTCCACTTCTCTCCAAACACTCACCTTTTAAAAGCGCAGTCATCCAGCCTAAATAAGAGCCACAGAAAGCCCTGACTGAGGCAGAGCAGAGGGACACGATGCTCAGAGCTTTTTGGGGCCGAAGAACTTTGCTTTTCCACTTAGAGATCAGTATGCATCTAGGAGGGGAAAAGGCCTTTCATTTTGAACTTTTCCATGCACCGTTTGTGCTAGTATGGATCATTTCAAATCTCTCTGTATACCCAGGAATAGAAATCACCGGTTTATTAATCAGTTTTTTGAATTAATGGCTTTTTAAATTTATTTTTGAGATCGGTTCTCAAATAGACCTTTTAAACCCTTTTAAAAAGTTGTTTTTAAAGGCCGTATCTCCTTTAAACAGCATTTTTATTTTACTTTATTTTATTGTATTTTTGTCTTTCAGGAAAAAATGCTGTAAGGGTTATAAATTTGTTCTTGGACAATGCATCCCCGAAGGTATGTGATTTTATTGTTCTAATCCTTCACATCCCAGTGCCATTAGCCATTTCTCATTTCTTCTGCTTTCTGTGCTGTTAATTTGGGAGAAAATACTGAATTAACCACAGGCTTGGTTGTCCCTGGTGTATCAGTGTGGGATTCGTTACCAGAAACAGCAATACGATAAATTCTGTGTCTTCAAAATATTTCAACTAGGAAGCTGGGTCTTGGCTCTCCCTACATACATCTGGGTGTATAGATCTTGTGATATGAATTAGTGTACACACAGAGCCATATTCTGCCCTTGGATGTGTGTTGAGAGCCATTTCACCCAGGAGTATTAGTCAGTGCAGCTAGGCCAGCAGCTAATTATTCCTTCTCTCCCAACAACAGCAGTGTGGAGGCTGGGAGAGGATAGTGCCTCGGAGGGGTATACTCCTGGGGTAGTGCAGCTTAGACATTGCCTCTTACACAGGGCTGTCCCTAAAGGCAATGAGAATTATTCTGCATAGCTCATGCTGTGTTGGAAAGGGAGTGTTCTCTTACTGGCATTAGTGAGTGAAGCTAAACCATATTTTGTAAATACAGTTTTTGGATCTCCTGAGTTCAAAGGTCTTGGAACATCTTTGTGATGGGTTCAGTCACAGAGCTCACCCGGGGACTGTCACCTGATGTGCTGAAATTACCTCTGAGCCCATTTTACCTGCCAGTTGGAACTCCAGAACCCTGCCTTGTTGAGCCAGACATGCGAGCCTGCTGCAACACAGACCCAAGTCTGGTCCACACCCCCAAAGCTGCAGACTAAACTGAAAACAGTTCAGCAGGTTACCTGTCTCCAGCACCCAGACACCCAGTTCCCAATGGGATGCAAACCCCAAATAAATCCGTTTTCCTCTGTATAAAGCTTATACAGGGTAAATTCATAAATTGTCTGCCCTCTATAACACAGATAGAGAGAGATGCACAGCTGTTTGGTCCCTGAGGTATTAATCACTTACTCTGGGTTTATTAATAAACAAAAGTGATTTTATTAAGTATAAAAAGTAGGATTTAACTGGTTTCAAGTAATAACAGACAGAACAAAGTCAGTCACCAAGCAAAATAAAGCAAAGACATGCAAGTCTAAGCCTAATACATTAAGAAACTGATTAGAGGTAATATCTCACCCTCAGAGATGTTCCAATAAGCTTCTTTCACAGACTAGACTCCTTCCTAGTCTGGGCCCAATCCTTTCCCCTGGTACAGTCCTTGTTAGATCCAGCAGGCATCTCAGGTGTAAGTAGTGGTTTTCTCATGACTGGCAGCCTGCTTAGTCCTGCTCCACCTCCTTCTATAGTTGTGGCACAAGGCGAGAATCTTTTGTCTCTCTGGGTCCCCACCCCTCCTTCTAAATGGAAAAGTACCAGATTTAGGATGGATTTCATTATCAGGTGACATGGTCTAGTTTCCATTCCCCATGGGCTGTACACAGGAAGGCTTTCAAGTAACTAAGGCCATTTACAACTGATTCTTTCTGGAGCACCCTTAATGGCCTCCACTTAATATGTTTACATCAGTGATACAAGTTTATGTCTTATTCTCCTAACTCCAGACATAGAAATAATACATGCAAACAAATAGGGTGAACACACTCAGTAGATTATAAGCTTTCTAATGACACCATACAAGGGGTATTTAGCATAAAGCATATTCCAGTAATGTCATATTCATAAGCATACTTCCATAAAGCATATGGAGGGGAACATCACAATTTGGATCATCTTTTAGAAAAGAATGAGATGCCTTTGCAAGTCAAGCTGTAGCTCATGGACACAACACATGGTGCTACCGGATGACAGGCATGAATTTTAAGGGCACAATCTGAAGTCAATTGACATCACCGGGTGTCTCTCCAATAACTTCAGTAGGATTTGGACCAGTCCCTAAAATAGTTATTCACAAAACTTCTTCACATAAGACATCTCCTCTTCTCACTGACTTCCCTGGTGCAGGATCAAGCCATATATGCAGAGCTAAGACTGACTGCAAAGCTGCAAAATCCTCTTGCTGCAGGCAAACTCTTTAAGCTGAAAATAAAAAGCCTGTGCTGGGTAACACATCTGTACAAGGACAATGCCACACTGGGACTATGGAGTTGGTCAGTGAGCTTTCTTAGTATGAGATGTAAACATTTTGAAGGGAATATGGTCATGGTAGGGTAGGGTAAAGTCGTTCTTGAGAGACCCAGTGAACTGCTTGTTCTTTGGCTTATAAATTCTGGCCAACAGGTTCCTCCCAGCTGTGGATCTTGCTGCCATTTGCCCCTGGGTGAGTGAGTGAGTTCGTTGTCAGATAGCAACACTTTGTGACAAAAAAACAGCCACCTCCTAAAAATATTGATCCTCGTGCTGTCAATGTGGTGAGAAATTCAAAGTGCTCCCAGCACAAGACCCAGCAGAGCTGCTGCAAGAATGGATGATGTTTGAATGAGATCAGTTCAACTTGGTCTGCTTATGCTAATGATTTTGGGCTTTGCCTTTGTGTTTGTGCAGGGAGCTCATGGCAGGAATGGTAAGCTACAGTGTGAGAGACCGAGATTGAGTAGAAGCATGATGTTGGATTGAAGAAATTTTTGGTTTTGTAGACTAGAGAGAGAGAGAGACAGAAACAGAGACCATATAGAATGGAAAGAATGCAGGCTCTCTGCAAATCCATCCCCTGGCTTTCTTAGGATGGTGTCTCCAGTAAAATAGCTTGTGTCTGTAGTGATTATTCACTAAGAATCAGAGATTGTGGGAGAAGAAACAGGGTTATGGATAAGAAAAAAGCCACAACAAAAGAGAATTGGTGCTTCTAGTTTTGACCTATTCAGATTTAGGTGAACCTGAAAGTAGCTCTTAATTATAATTCCATTGACTTTAGTTATGCTGTCCCTGGGCTCTGGATCTTAACAAGCTTGGAGCATTTCTTTCTTTAAATGAACTTGTTTGCTGGTTGTGGTTTCTCTACCTCCCTCTTTGTATCCTCCATTAGGCCTCATATCAACCTGACCTGAGTTTCACCTTGAATTTCACAGACCTAAGGAACAGCGGAAACAGCTGAAACTGTTCGGGGCCATAGTGTATAAACTAGAAACACTATGATTCAGGGAAACACTCTTTTAACTTACTCTGTTAAAATGTAACCACTCCCCACACATCGTTTCATCATAATCTTGGCAGTATGAGTGTGCTTGAAATGCATATCTCAACCCAGGCACATAAGTATATTACAGATGTCTCAGGTTGTTAGCTTCTTTATTAAAGTATATCTTTGCCTTTTAGCCATTACTGGCAAATCACAACACCAAGAAAGCAATTGTAGTACCGTCTTCCTGTGCAACTAGCAGTGAGTACAAGGAAGGGCTTAGGAGCTAAAGCAGACCCTGCTCCATCTACTCTTTTATGTCTGCCTCAGAAAGACCTGGTTCTCCTTCTGGGGCAGGTGTTTTTTAAATAGTCTCTCCTCCCTAAGGCAATGGCATTGTCATTGATCTTCAACCTTCTTCCTGTCATTTCCATTCATTCTCCTTTCCCTGTTCTACCTTGTCCTACCCTGGGGATAATGATATTTAGAAAAGCAGTTTGAGACTGAGTGCTAAATACTATTTTATTGTTGCCTCTCTGACATCTCCTTCTGCCCCACTTTCTCAAACAAACATGCCAAAAATAGAACTTCTCATCTTTTCTCCAGAACTTCCTCTATCTCTGTCTTACTATTCATGGTTGACAATTCCATTCTCTCTTCCTTCTCTGGGCTCAGCCTAAAGTAAAGCACACATGCTTGTAGCCTGGATCAAACATTCAGGGAGTATCCATGGTAGCTTTTACAAATATGTTCACTACTGTGAGTTTCTTGATGAAGATTAACTGGAGATAAGAGTCTAATGTAGACAAACCCTGGTCAGATTCTCCTTCCTCAGTTTCCCCATTGCCAAAAACTCTGCTTCATCCTTTCTGGTCTCTTTCTTTATCACCTGTCCATTCTTCAGTCCATCAACATGCTGCAGCCAGAATTATTTGACCTTTTCTATGGATTCCCTCCAATACTGCTAATATGAAGCGTGATTAACAAGATCAGACAGGACAACGCCAGGGTCATCCCTATAGTACCAAGCTGGCTGAGACAGATTTGGTATTCTTACCTGCTTCACCTGTGTGTCCAACCCGCATTCAAGCTTTCAACCATCCTTTATCTCCTCTCCTAGAGTGCAGATAGCGTGCTTCACCCCAACTGAGGGGGCTTCTGCCTCAGGGCATTCAGAAGATTAGAATCCGCCTGCTCAACAGGAGTACAACAAGTATTACTAAACAGTGAAAAAGAGTCAACTAAAATTACCTTCAGAAATAGGAAAGATTCAAGTACTACTGTCACTGTGACAGTGTAGTGCCTGAATTTTCTTTGCTTTCAGTGATCTTGCACCTGCTGAACCTGAAGAAATCAGGTTATCAGTTATCTCTATTAAGGTTCATCTGGCTGCAATATCAGCACTTCATCCCCCACTGGAAGGGTTTTCCATATTTGCTCACCCTATGTCTTCAAGATTTATTAAGTGTTTAGGGAACCTCTCCCACAGTTTAAGGATCCTACTCCTACTTGGGATCTCAACCTGTACTTAAATACCTCATGGGACCTTTGTTTGCCATAGGCTGAACCTGCTTTCTGCTTCAGTTATCTATGAAGATGGCCTTTCTAGTAGCCATCATTTCAGCTCACAGACTTGGGGAGACTGGGGCCTTGATGGCAGACCCTCCATTTATGATATCTTTCAAGGACAAGATCTGTTAATGGCCACCGTAAATTCTTACCTAAAGTGCTGTTGGATTTTCATTAACCAGGCCATTCATTACCAGGTGTATTTTCCCCTAAACCACGTATATCTCAGTATGAGACAGATGTTAGATGGGCATTGGTCTCTTATGTAGATAGGACCAAGCAATTTTGGAAATCACCTTGATTTTTTGTCTCTATCACAGAGAGATCCAAGGAGTCCACAATCTCTACACAGAGACTTTCAAGGGGGATCTCTGGGTGTATCATCGCTTGCTATAACACAACTAGTGCTCTACTTTCCCCAAGGATAATAGCACACTCTACCAGATCACAGGCAACTTCCACAGCTTTAATCTAGAACATTCCAGTGTCTTAGATATGCAAAGCTGCTACACAGACTTCAGTGCATACTTTTTGTAAACACAATGCCTTGGTCCACAACACCAGATCTGATGCGATGCTTGGTTGTGCTGTACTGTCTTCAATCTTAGACTCAATTCTGAAGCTCCTTAAGGGTCCTTAAAGAGATTGTGCAGGGGCAGAAATTAGCTATGGGAGTGAGCTTCACCATCGTGGCTTCCTGTGAACGCAGACCTTCTTGGTCCTAACCCTGACCACACCAGGCAAGAGAGAGGGACCACGATGACATTGCTCCTCCTCTGGCTCCAGCTGAATCCTGAACACCACCTAAGATGAAAGGGGATTGGACTTTAACAACAATCTCCAGCCCATTTCAACTAACTTCTTCTGTTTTCCCCAAAAGGACAGGTGTTACCATCTTTGATACCATCTAAGAGACTGGTTTCAGAGTAGCAGCTGTGTTAGTCTATATTCGCAAAAAGAAAAGGAATACTAGTGGCACCTTAGAGACTAACCAGTTTATTTGAGCATAAGATCACGAAAGCTTATGCTCAAATAAATTGGTTAATCTCTAAGGTGCCACTAGTACTCCTCATCTAAGAGACTGTCAAACAAGGGGGTTTTTCATGTGGGGATACTGCTCGGAGGTCATCTGAAGTGGAAGCACCCATAGGGACACTATTTGAAGAAGAGGTTACTCACCTTGTGCAGTAACTGTGGTTCTTCAAAATGTGTGTCCCTATGGATGCTCCACTACCTGTCCTCCTCCCCTCTGCTTCAGACCGTTCTTTGTTGGACATTCAAATAGAGAAGGAACTGAGCGCCGTTCACCCTTGCGGCTCCATATACTTTGGCGTGCACCATGAGGTCGTATAGCACATGCATGGGTCAAACAGACACTGCCAACAGAAAATCTCTGATTAAGGGCTTGAGAGGCACATGCACACCTGAAGTGGAGCACCATGGGGACACACATCTTGAAGAAACACAGTTACTGCACAAGGTGAGCAATTTCTTCTGCTCTTCAAACACAGCACTGAGTTGGTTTATAGTTAAAATAAAACAAATGTATTAACAAGAGGACATAGATTAAGTGATGCCAAGTAAAAGGAATAAAGTTAGAAAGGGAAACCAGCAAATAAAAGTGAAAATGCATCTAAAAGTCTACAACTAAATTTAGTAAGCTACAGGCTTTGTTCAAGATGCTTTCTCTCATTGGTCTTCCTTCTTCTCAGCCATGGCTGACTTTCCCTCAGTCAGGACCTTCCACAGAAGTACAAGATGCTGGCTTCCCTTGTCTTCCTAGGTGAAAGGTCTTTGCCTAAGCAGGTTTCTCGCCTATATTCAGTTTGCAGAGACTTCAACTCCTCCATTTTTCTCAGCATGCAAGAGCCATCTTTCCCAGCTTGCAAGAGCTCTGTTCCCTTGTGTCCGTCTAGTGATGGATGCCAAAGATGGCTTCCGTCTTTGCTTATGTCTTCCAAAGTTCAGTGACGTTGTTTCAAGAGGCAGGATGACCTCATTCTGTTTTCCCCTTTCTATGAGCTTCCCATCACCCTGTATGTAAATGGGGCTTCCATTGTTTTGATTCCCCCATGCTTAATTGATATAGGAGACAGGTAAATAGCTGTGACATTCCCTCCTGTCTGGGCGAGACCTGTTTCTCCTTTTGTTTAGACACAGACTGTAAAGCTTAATATCAATGGAAATCCATAATTCCTTATGCAGTGTTTATGCACACATTTTACGATGGTATTAATCACCAGTGTGTCATTTGCTTTCATAAAACATCTCACTCAATAAATTTTTATAATACAGTAATATTGTCTTCAATCAGTTGATTCAATTACTTATCATTTGAGGTTCAGATCCCCCTGAACTTAATCGTGCAGAGGTTCAGACTTTATCGCGCAGATAACGTTTCTGTTCTCTGCTGGAAGCTATCTCCTCCCCCTCTTGATAGCTCGGTAGCTTTGTTTACCTAATATGTAAATGGCCCTTCGTTGTCTCTGCCTGATGATTGTGCTAGGCAGAGAAGCAAATACGCATTCTTTCATCTAGGGCAGAGCTGCTTACCAATTCCCCCTGACATGCCTGGCTTATGCAAATTTTAGTCATCATTCCTGCCTATATCCATAACTCTTAATACACACCCCATATATAAATCATGAAATAATATTAATGATCAGTGAGTTTCCAATGACATATTACATGATACCTTTTAGATACAGATTATAAACACAGTGAGTTGGGGCACGCTGAATTGATCAGGCCCACTGAAACACATTACCTGATGTGCCACAACTCCCCTTCCTATTTCTCTGCCTCTTCCCGTTTAAGAGAGCTTCTCCCCTCCGCGCCTCCTGGTTGCATATACTGGTTCAAGTGGGGTTTTTCCAGAGGCTAGGAAACAAAGAAAGGGCTTTTGGTATAAAAGGATGAGCTTGAACTGGCACAGGTCCTTCCTTTGATTCAGCAAGTGGACAGGATCCTCTGTCCAAGGTGGTGGTGGGGGGTCCCAACCCTTGCCGAAGGGTTGGAAGGACTTTGGCTTACTGGGACCCCATAGGACTGATGGGTGGTCTCTGGGTAAGCTTTTCTCATGTATATAGGAACTTTCATTTGTTTTTTCTGTAATGCTTTTACTCTAAGAATGAAAGTATTTTGCTGTATGAAGACTGGCTGGTAACTGGTGTACACTGCTGTAGCCCCTGAAGAGAGGTTAACCACATGGGCCAGACCTTGGTCAGACCTGCTGGGGAAATCACACTGTGGTGCAGAGGGGCTACAAGCCTCAACCCCTGGTCTGCGGGGAGAGAAGTGCAGCTCTCTGTCTGACACAAGTAATGGCTGAGAGCCTGAGACCTTTAGAGGGTGCCTTCAAGGAAGACCAGGAGTGGGAGCAAAGTGCAGTTAAGTCTGAAACTGTGATGGGGCTTAACCTGCATTACCATCTATCAGTAATTTGTTATGACATTTGATCTTTTGGAAAATTCTGCAATTCACAAGGTGGTTGCTAGTCACTAGTATGAATCAGAATATTTCTTCAACAATCAATCAATAATTTTTAAAGTACGGTATATATGCAAAGAGTGTTGGAATGTTGGCAAAAACATTTAGATTTTACTTAGATTTACATTTTCTTAAATTGCAAGCTTTTGGGGGCAGGCACTGTCTTTTTGTTCTGTGTTTGTACGGTGCCTGAGGCAGTGGGTTCCTGGACCACGGTTACAGGTCCTTGTTGCCAAAATAATACAAGCAACAATTAAAAATAATATATTTTTTTAAAAGGTTAGAAACAGTGGACTGGCTCTTTTATAAACTCTGAATTAAACGTGTAGAAGTTTTTTTTAAATGATATAAAGCAACACTGTCATGAATTTTGATATAAACTCTAAGAGCCTGCAGCAGCGCTTATCCAGACTTGCTTTGGGCCCTGCCACTGCCTCAGTTTCCCCTTCTTCTCCAGCTAATCAACCTTCACACTGAGGGAATGTCTTTACTGCAGAGTTAACTTGGGTGATTGGCATCTTGGTCTGAGCATTGTTAGCCTCGCCAGGGCATTAGCATCCAGACTCTAAAGCCCTACCTAAATCATTGTGTCCTCTCTGGTACTGCACTCACCTGTATATGTCACTCGGACTTCTGGGGGCATATCCCATGGATCTTAGTGCTATGGTAAGATGAGCCACTCTGTAATTCCTTCCCAGTGAATTGTGGGAGAATTTGTCTATGGTTCTGGACTTCTGGGGGGAATTGTGGGAAAGCACTGGATGACTATCATCACTGGTGTGATTTAGCCTGCATCCTCACTGCAAAGTGAATGGTTACCAGCCCAAATGAAAGCTTCACTTGGGCTTCAGCCTATACCCCCAGAGGGCCAAGTGGAAAGCTCCACTACACTCTGGTAAGAGGCTTAGTATCAGATGCTAGTCAGCACATTTATATTATTAAAAACGGTGATATCTTATTAACTATGTGCTCTTTGCTTGGGCAATTAGGGTAGGTTTGGTGCAGTTAATGTATTTTTTTTAACTAACTTTTCTTTCTGAAACGTTTTCTCAATGTATTTGCCACTGAATTATCTGTAAGCTATTGTATAGTATATTACACAGCAGCTGTTGCTTCTGTCACTTGTGAATTTGGGGAGGGGAAAAAAAGCAAATATTTCCCTGAGAATAATTACTAATTCTCTGCAACCAAAGCAGCATATTAATTATTATTTTATTATATTGTAGCACCTAGGAGCCTTATTTGTGCTAGGATCCCATTGTGCAAGGTGCTGTACAAACACAAAGAAAGTGCCTCTTTCTCAAATTATTAGACCTGTAGAAAAGCTGTGGCTAGGAATTATAATTCCCCAATAAAACATTAGTTACGTTTTGTGACAATCTCACTTATGTTTCTTCCATCTGCTGTGATAATGCAGTTGGACTTTGTTAATGAACAATAACATAAGATGAGATAAAATATCAAATCATATGGTTGTCCTAAACACATGGGCCTTCTTCCAATGTTTCCCTTAAGCACGCTTTTCTCTCTTTAGACTACGATGTGTGTGCAGAAGCTCCGTGTGAACAGCAGTGCACAGATAACTTTGGACGTGTCCTTTGTACATGTTATCCTGGATATCGGTATGACCGTGAGAGACACAGGAACAGAGAGAAACCCTACTGCCTAGGTGGGTATGAAGAACATGTCACATTTATCTTTGGTTAAGGCTGTGTCCTGCGTCAGGCAGAATTTTCAATTTTTTAGAAATTCTTCAAAGAAGAAGTTGAATAGTGCTAGACCCTTTCCTCTTACTTTCCTTCATTCTTTTAGTATGCGTGCTTTTAATTGATTTAAGTAAATAGCTGTATAAGTTTTCCCCCCCCTTGTTAATTCCTTCCCCATACAGTCTCTGAGCAGTATTCAAGGTCTTTGGCAATGAAACAGGGCATGATTCTCACATCAAACTGAAAACCAGGGAAATTATGTTAAATTATGAAAGCAAACCTCTGAGATTCAATTCAGATTGTAACTCCTAATTCAGGGATTTATAACACTCCCAGCTAACTCAGTAGCGCTACCTTGCATGGGTGAGTATTTACATGAGCCAAGGTTTTCAGGATCAAGTTTTGATGCAAGGACTTGTCAAGAGGTAGTCATGTGTAAAGGGCCATGCATGTTAATAATTATAATATAATTGATGTGAAACTGTAGCCCAGGCCCCCTGAAGTTCTGTAGTTGCTTGACCATCCATTCAGAATCCCTTCAGATAATGGAACCAGTAAGGGAAATATCTTATTTGATCTCTAAACCTCTGTAACTTTTGGGGGATTCTCAACATTTGTTCAACTTCAGATATCGATGAGTGTGCCACAAACAATGAGACTCTCTGCTCTCAAATCTGTGTCAACACCTTGGGCAGTTACAGATGTGAATGTCATGAAGGCTATATCCGAGAAGATGACGGGAGGACTTGCACCAAAGGAGACAAAGGTATATACTAGCGTGCAGTAATATCCTGGGCCAAATATAGCCTAAGAAAACTGATGCATCATAGAGAGGGAGCTGTGGAAATGTAATACAGCCAATGCCAAATTCAGGTGCCCTGGGGTAACAGAACTGAATCTGGTCCATTGACTTTAGATTACTAAAAAGCAAGTGAACTATCCAAAGGCTGTACCATGCTTCCATAGTCCTCTGTCCATGGTGCTCCTAGGAACAGTCACTGTCTAGAAAACCCCTATGGATGGCCCTGGCCTCCCATTGAACATCTCAGGGGCTCCACAGGGTTTTGGGGCTAGCATCTCACTGTCCTGCAGGGGTGCAAAACACACGGCCCTCTGGCTGATGGAATGTTTGGGAAGAAAACCCCAGTAGGAGAATCTCTTGGTGATTTCTTCTCCTTTAGCCATGGGAGGGGGCAACCAGGTACTGTCTCATAATGTGATCCATACAGAAGATATGTGTACCTCATTCAGTGTCTTGATATAGTGTACATTCATGGCAAACCTAGGTTCTCATCAACTAGACCACTACTGTAACAATGTAAAAAAATCTATGTGAGCATAAGCCTTTTACTGCCCCTGAGATACTGTACTCTTGAGTTCCCAGGGCAATTCCCATGGCTTGTTCTGGAGCTACCTTTTCCCTGTAATTAGCATTTAATGAACTGTAATGTCTGCGTGTGAGAGGAGTGAAAATGAAAAGCTAGTATTTTGAAGCATGTGGAAAAGATTCTCCCTGGAGGGAAAGGGTGGGTGAATAATGAATCTAGCTCTTACTACTTAATTTAGACCACTTTGTCTGAAACACATAAAATACTTGCAGCTAACATAATAATAATAAGCCAAATCTTAATACAGGGGTAACTAAGAATAGAATTTAGTCCAGTGTGGGATCTCACTTAGAGGAAAATGAGCCAGATTCTGACCTCCATAAATCCAAAATCGCTAAAGTGGCTTTAGTCTGTATTTACACTAATACCAATGAGATTAGCAGATGGCCCAGTGTTAGTGCTTTTGAGCTTTCAGGCACACACCAAAATCATACCTGGAGAGTCAACTTTTGTTTTAATAATCTAAACCAGTAGGCTAAATTCCATCTGTGGCTGTAGAGTTCTTGAATTCCATGGCACTGAAGTTAATTGGATGGCACTGTTGCAACAGAGATCAGAATTTGTTCCAATAAATATAGAATGTTGAGCTTTTCGGCTTTTTGTTTTATTTGAACATTGGTATTAAGTATAAAAGTGTTTGCCATCATCCAATGCCTTTAAATTAATAAACGTTGGGATAATTTAAATTAATCACAGATACAGAAAGTTAGTAACAGAGGGGGGAAAAAAGAAAAAAACTGAAAACATCTTTTGATGAACTTTAGGTTACAGTTGGCTCACCTATTAATGACTGAAAGTACATTTTATATCACTGACTTTTCCAAACCCCAGCTGGACAATAGGCACAAACATTTTGTAATTTTTATTTGTCCCACTGAAAACATGTATCTGGAGCACACCAGGTTTCTGCGATTGCTCTTTGTAGCTTTCAAACATTTATAATTCTTTTATTTATAAAGATGTCATTAACAAAAAGTGTGTTGTCACTAATACCCTTGCAGATATATTTATAATTAACATTTCCTCTGTAATTCAAGCTTTCTGACAGAGGAATGTCCATAGCATTCAGGATTATTGACTGTTGAAAATATTCTAGGCATTTGTAAATGAACTTCAGCTATCTTTAAACAGCAGTTTGTAACACAGTTTTCTTTCCACTATAATCCATGTCTCCTGTGTGGCATAGGACACCATCTCTCAAACAGTTACCAGCAGCAGTTGGAGAGGCAGCATGCAGAATCTAAGGGCTACATTCTGCTCTGTTACACCAGCGTAAATCTAGAATAATTTTACAGATTTCAGATGTAAATGAGAGCAGAATTTGGCCGTACCTATTTTTGTATTAAGCACACTAGCCTGCAAAATACTGGCGAGCACGCAGAACAAGAGGATTTTCAGCAGGTGACTTCCAGGTCTATAAATTATATGCCACCTTGTGGTAAATGTAAGTTCCTGCACCATTATAAAACAGCAACACATTTAAGTTGTAATAACCTTATAAAGAACAATAGAGTCACATTATATAGGTCGCTGGAACACTAAGGCAAATTTTCTGACAATATTTTGTTTGAGACAACATAAAAACAGACAAAAATCTGACATCTCACCATAATTCCAAATATAACATACCTTACACAGAGAGTTAATAATTGTTTACTCTGCAAAGCCAGAAGAATTGGCCCTATCCTACTAGCAGTGGATTGGATTAAATATGCTTTGGATTTGTACATCAGGCACCAAAAGGGGCTGCATCCTTGCTGCTTCAGCAGTCATTTTTCACATTACAGAGACAATACAGTTACACACTCAAAGGTGGACAAACTAAACCTTCTCTGCAGTCTGAGCCCAGATAATACAACACAGATGATAAACTAAATAATCTCTGTGCAAAGAATGCATTCAGAACAGCTCCCTGTAGAGATCTCCTCCTGGCAGGATCTCTCTCTCTTCCAGCATAAGCAAGATCGTGACTTCCAGCATATGCTAAAGAAACATACTGCCTCTCCAAGCAGTTTTCTTATCAATAGCAGCTGCAGGGCTCACCAGTAACGAGGTAAAGGGCTCTGAAGAAGGCCAACAAAACATCATGTGAGCTGGACTTAATTGTTTGTACTGTAGGAGGCCTTCTAAGATGGGACAGGTTCAAAGGGACTCTGTCAAGTAGTTTAGCCCCCAGATTCAAGTTTTATACAATGCAAACTGTTTATTTAAACATCCCACTGAAGTGTTGGTGAACCCTGGGGTTGCCAAGTTTTACTCTGCCTGAATTCAGTATCTGCACCAATGATGACTGCCTCAGAATCTCATTGCTTTCTTGACCAATGGGCATGACCCAGATGGATTCTGGTTCTATTCAGAAGTGGACACACTCTGGATCTGATGTCTGGGGTCACAAGGTAGTGATGGATGACTGTTTTCATGGTCAGAACATCACCTCCCTTTGGTGTACATCAGGGGAATCCTGCCGTGCACAAGTCGGGAAATAGGGAGATATCTTATCCTTGTTCTCACCAGCGTGTTGGATTGTGTTTTGATGGTCACAGAGACTACTGGATCCAACTAGATTCACACAATTCTCTGCAGCATGATCCTTTCCAACTATTAGACCACCTCACTGATGGCTGCAGTCAACTATTATAACGATATTTTGTTGATGCACGGATCTTTGCTCTACATCGGTCGTACAGATGAACTGGATTATATATTAGAACTAGGGGCAAATTCAGTGTTTCTTATACACCGCTCAGTCCCATTGGTTCCAATGGGATTGCATGGGGTTAAAGACAGCAGAGAAAGCTGGCAATTTTTCTCTGACTGTTGTTGCTTTCAGCAACATTTCTCAACACAGTCCAGTCATCAGGGGTGTGGGGGGTGAACTCATTGGGATAAAATAAAAATTGAAAGGGACTTTGGTTTAATACTTGTTCCAAACCAACATTTTTACTGTAGTTTAAAAACAGACAAGCCTGATTATCTTTTTATTTTTAAAATGATGCATGTCTCTGTAATTCCTGCTTTTGTCTAGAAATACTGGCACAAAAATATTCACATTTTTAAAAAGAAGTTGAAAAGTTGGGAGAAGGTGCAGAATTTGAGGTCTGGAAAAAATGCCTTGCAGGGAAAGACTTAAAGAGCTCAGTCTGTTTAGCTGATCAAAAAGAAGATCAAGAGGTGACTTGATTTCTGTGTAGAAGTACTTTCACAGGAAGAAAAAATTAGGTATTGAAGGGCTCTTTAATCTAGCAGAGAAAGGCACAGCAAGAACCAGTGGCTGGACATTAAAGACCGACACATTCAAATGGGAAACAAGGCACAAATTTGTAACCGTGCAATGCAACAAACTACCAAGGGACATGGTGGATTCTCCATCTTTTGATGTCTTCAGATCAAGCCTAAGTGCCTTTCTCAAAGATATGCTTTAGCCAAACCCAACTTATTGGGCTAAGTGCAGGGGGTAACTGGGTGAATTTTATGGCCTGTATTATTCAGGAGGTCAGACTAGACGATATAATGATCCCTTCTGGTCTTAAATTGAAGAATCTGTGGCGAATATGATGAGGGAAGCTGTTCTCCAAGTATTACCATCTTGTACACTATTAGGAAGCACTGGAAAGCTCACAAAGGAGCCTGGTATTTCTAGCTGAAAAAAGGACCAAATAAAATTCAGAGGAGTATTTGAGGGATGTTCTAATGCCCAATGCAATCAGTGAAAAGACTCCTATTGGCTACAGTGAGTGTTAAATGAGGCACTTGATAAGCATATGAGTGCTTAGATGCTTGTCTGAATCTCCTAATCTTTTGACTGTTCATGACTAATTCTGATACCCTTAACACTGATGATCAGCTAACCTTACCTCCTCTTTATCATCTTCCTCTTCGTACTTTAGGACAAGGAAGTACAGGGCATGTTTCTGATCTGACATATCAAGATAAGAAAAATAAACCTCTCTCTCTCAAAGGCAGAACTACTTGTTGCAGTGGATCCCAAAAGGCTTCCTGGGTGTGGAGTCTGGTAGAATAATCCTACAGAAAAATCAATTGGCTGTGAAGCTGTATTAGTATCCTGGTGTATTACTAAGGTTAAGATTCTGTCACGGGTATTTTTAGTAAAAGTCAGGGACAGGTTGAGGGCAATAAACAAAAATTCACAGAAGCCCGCGACCTGTCCCTGTTCCCGTAGTCCCGAGGTTGGCTGCAGCCACTGTTCTGGCGGCCCTGGGGCAGACGGCAGGTCACCTGTTCCAGCGGTTCCCCCCCCCCCCCCCCGACTGCTGTTCTGAGTGCCCAGGGGCTGGGTTGCCAGTCAGCTGTTCCGGCTGCCACTGCTCTAGCAGCCCCGGCGCTGATCGCTGGCCAGCTGTTGCGGTGGCCCCTGGGGTGACTGCTGGTCAGTTGTTTGGCAGCCCGGTGCTGGCCACCAGTCAGCTGTTCTGGTAGCCGCTGCTCCAGCCCTGGCCCAGAAGAAGTCACGGAGGGCCCAGAATGTCACAGAACCCGTGACTTCAGTGACAGAATCATATCCTTATGTATTACAGAAAAACATGATGAATGTGAATTTTTTTACATTGGACACAGTAAATATATATATATCCAAAAGTCATGTCCTTAATACTATACTAAAAGAAAGCCTGTTTGTATTTAGTGTTGCAGTTTTATTTTTCAAAAGCAGTGCACATTTATGAAAACATGACCCAAACAATTATACTAAAGTATGTTTTCAAATGAGCAAGTATAACACAATAGCTAAGCGTGCTGCTGCTGGTCCATTTAGAGGCAAACGGCTACTATTGCTACTAGAGTTCCTCCATTAACTGCAGTCGCAGAAGTCTGTACCATAATTCTGAAGGTCCAGCGTTTGAACCCTCCTACTATTGGCTCTTGTGGATGATCATTACGCAAGCCTACATGTGGGACAACTATTAAAACAATGATTGTTTGTTTGTGATGCTAAAGTGATTAGCTCTGTGTGAGGCCAACAATAATAAGGTTGAAATGCTTATTTTCAGGGTTATTCTGCAGATTCCGCAACAGATTCATTCTTACATACCTAACGATTATAGTGACCTTTTCTCTAACTTGGCTGTAAACCTTTACCACGAATCCCAATTCTCAGCCCTGTTCGCTCTTGGAGCTCCATTGCACGGCAGAATAGTCAGTGTTGATAAAGACCGGTTTTGTGCAAATTGAGTAAGATTGTCACGTTGCATGGGGTTTGAGTGTCATTTACAATATTTGAAAAGTGGCGGTTGGAGGGGATTGTAAATCATTTTGGATCTATAGGGCTGGCCTAGTGTAAATGCACAGATAAAAGTACAAGTGTAAACATTTTCAGATATAAAAGAGGAAAAGGGCATTTCAGGCTGTTAACTGGAAACAGCTGCGTTTAAAATGTGGCCTGTACTGCCTCTGTGAAATTGCTCAGCCTTACGTTGTGATTCATAATTGAAAAGCTGGTAATGGCATGAGCCTCTCTTCCTTTCACACTGTTGGGTAGCATAAAAACCGCAAAGGCTGTTCTGTGGCACAGTAGCTTTTGCAACTGCTGTATGCTTTTCTTTCCTTTGGGTTTTCTTCCCTTTTAAAATATATTGGAAATTGTTTTAATTTTAGCTGGGCTTTCTGAGAAGGCTGACAACGTGGTGAAAGCAGGAACCTGTTGTGCCTCTTGTAAGGAATTTCATCAGATAAAGCAGACGGTTTTACAACTAAAGCAAAAGGTACAAACATTTTGTCAGTCACATCGTTGCATTGTACATTTTAAAGGTGTAAATTAGAGACTAGATACAGCTGCAGTTCTTCTTAGGGTACCTTTAAACATACCAGTGTTGATGAATCACAGCCACGTGAGGCTTGTGTTCATGAAATAGGGTGTAGCAGCATTTTAAAATCATGTGTGAATGGCCGCAATTGCTATTCCACAGACCTCATCCAAACAGATTGCTAATCAAATCAAATTCAGTGGTAGCTTTGAGATATAGACAGATGCCCACCACAGACTAGGATAAGACCATGAAATCCAGTTCCACTTACAAGGATTTGAACCCAGCTGTGTTGACAAGTGGCATCATCTTTTCCCCTTTTATTCCTTCCAAATACACAACATTTAGGGCTTGAGCCTGCACAGAACAGGTATAGCCAGTCCAAATGTAGTTTTGTCAAAATGGAAACTTTTGCAGGAACGTGTCAATTTCAACTACATTTTGGTGAAAGGAGGTCTAAGCGAGTCATTTTGACTTTCTCCTTACATTTTGGTAATATTCATTTGGACTTTCCTGTTTAATTTTATTTCATTTCAACTTTTAAATTATAATATGCTAATTTTAATGTGTTATTGTTTATTCTGTAATTTGACGTTATTGAAACAAAATGTTTTGATGGTTTAGAATGAAAATTTTTAGGCATTTCTGTTGTGTGGGAAAGTTGGAAATTTTAACTTTTCTTTCTGATTCAGAACAACAAATTTTGAAATGTTGCAGTTTCCCACAGAACAGAAATTCCATTTTCTAACCAGCTCTTGTTAGAGGTAATATTAATTTAATGAAAACAGCATATAGGACAGCAATGCTGGCTGTAAACAAACAGCATCCAAGAAAATGACAAGTCCTCTGTGTGCTACTACGTGCAATTATTTACAGTAAATATGGCTCTTTGAATGGGCTGGTTGCCCAGTTATTTGTTCCCAATTGAGAAGCCTGGCATCAAATCCTGTACTAAGTAACCTGCTCTCAGATTTGGTGGGTATTGCAAACACTTCAGCGTGTGTGCTTATCTCCATTGGTAATTAAGTCTTGTCTACAGCAAAACATGCTGGCTGATCAGGAGTGACTCTCCTGACTTAGAATTGTTGTATGAGAATAAGGCACGTATGCCTGGAGGAAAAGGTTAGCAAACAGGAAACAAGGCCTTCTAACAGAGGCATGTGCAAGAGCTTTAATGCCTAGGCCCTGCCTATCTAGGTTGCCTTTATCTCATTACTCTGAGAGCATTCTGTGCCAAAAAATTAAAAATTCTGCACACAATATTTTAAAATTCTGCAAATTTTATTTGTCAAATAAGTGTGGAGGGTCCAGCATGGCATTGGGGAGCACAGACCACTGACTGCACAGAGATGGGAGATCACTGTGCAGCTCTTCCCCGGGACACTGACTCAGGGCTGAGGTTGCACCCAATCCTGACAGTGTGAGGACCAGGCCTGCCCCAGAAACTCCTGAGGGCCCTGCCCCTCCATGTCAGGTGCACCAGTTGTGGGCAAGCAGGCTCAGCAAGGTAGGACCCAAGTGTGAAGAGGCTTAGTGTTGTGGGGATCCAGGTGTGGGTTGAGAGAGTTCTGTGGGGGGCAATCTGGGTGTGGGCAGCTCAGTGGGGGATCCGGGTGTGGGGCGGGGTCTGGATGCACAGGGGTTTGTTGGGGGGTTCTGGGTGCAACAGTAATGGGACTCTGCAGGAAGGTCCAGGTGAAGGTGTTTTGGGCTCAGCAGGAGGGGGCTGGTTGTGGGGGGAATAGAGCTCGGCAGGGGGTCTGGATGTGGTGGGTCCAGATGCTGGGGGAGTGTGGCTCAGTGGGGTGGGGATACAGTTATGGGTGGCTGTCTGGGGGTTCTGGGTGTGGGGGTGGAGGGGTTAGGCTTGGTGGGGGGGGTCTGGATGCATGGGGGTTGGGTGGATGGGGGAGCAGCTCCCTGTACAATGATCCCTTCCCCTGCAGCTGAGGACCAATGGATGCAGGAAGCACGGGGGAAAGGGAGTTTCCAGAGCTTTCTACAGCTGGGGGAGAAATCTGGGAGTGGGTCTGACACAGCCCCGGGTGCCATGCAGGGGAAGAGGGAAGTCCCGTCCTGCCCTGCCCAGCCCAGCCGGGACTAGCAACTGAGAATGGTGCAGAGTTGGAGCCACCAGCCAGGTCTTCCCCAGTCTCGCCCCCTGCCCCAGAGTGATTTACCTCTCTGCCGGCTGCCCTTGGCACCCAAAACATACTGCTTGGGAGGGTTGCATGAGCACTCTTGAGCTTCCATTTGATTCCCTGCATTTTTCTGCAAGAAAGCAAAGAGATCTGTGAGGGACATAAATTCTGCACATGTGCAGTAGCGCAGAATTCTCCTAAGAGTATCTCATATAGCCTCAGCCTGTAGTGGATTGTACCACGGATGGCAGAACCAATAAGTAGTAGGGCTGGGATCAAGACAGAGATGCCACCTTGAATGATTTCTCCAGTGGGACTCAATGTCACCATGATGTACTAGTGCAACATCTTGACTGCAAAGTTGTGCTGACCCTGAACCTTGCAGCTTTCAGGATAGCTCTAGTGAAACTGGGATGAGCCAGTTGAAGAACTAGGCTGAGGATATCTAGCATGCAAATGAGTTGTCAGAATTTATAAAAAATATATCAAGTCAGCAATCCAGTGCTTGGAATCATGCACATCTACTCACAAAGACATATGTAAGCATCTTTATTAGAAATCAGTCCAGTCAAACCATGTCAAAATCAACTAGTCTACAGTTCTTATAGGAACCCCTCAAAACTACAATAGGTAACATGAAACATTGATGGTGGGAGGATCTTGTTTCTAGCACTGCCATTCCCTAAACATCCATCCACACAAAACTTTACACTGAGACAGAAAAAGGTAAGTTGTGAGGAAAAGTTGGCTTTTGAGTTATGGATGGAGAAAACCAAGGTCATTTTGGACAATTATCCCAATCCATCCAAAAAGTGAAATATGAATTAGGTCAGTGAGTGTAGTTAATCCCTAAGAGGATAACAGTCAACATCAGAAACACATGGTTTGGCACCAATTTGTATAACAGGCAGTTTCTGGCTAGGAGATATAAAAGTTAGTGAACTAGACCCGGGACTCACTTACTTGACATGTTTAGTGCATGTCTCAGGTCCAGCTGACTCAGTGGGGAGGCATGTGTGTATGCTGGCTTTGCAGATATTTTTTTTTTACTTACTAAATTATTTAATAAAGAGGCTTGTTGACAGTACAAGTGATTTTTTTTTACCCAAGCAACAGAAGACGTTTTTATATTCTGTTTATGTCGATCCTTTGCAGTTACACACATTTTTTCCTGTTCAGAACATAAACTGAAGAACTGGTCATTGTAATGACTATAATGAGTGGCATTTATATAGCAGTTGGGCTCCTGAAAGAGCCCAAAGTAACCTCCAGGCCACAAATTAAAATAAAATCTATACAGGGGAAATTAATTAATCCATCACTCAAATGGGACCATCAATGGGGTGAAACATTCCATGCTTTTCAACAGTGCATATAAATACTACACAGCTGCTTAGTCCAGATGAAATTTGAGATTGGCAGAATTTTACTTACTAGTTTGAATTTATAGAGACGTTGGTTCTAAGACACCTAGAACTCTCCTGCCAAAAGTGCAAGGGAAATTTTAATGCTCACAAGTGGTCAAGACTTAGTTCTAGCTCTCAATCTAAAAATGGCATCTTTGGCGGAATGTAGCCCCAAATCTGTGCTGGGGCATTGGTTTAATACCTACACAGAGAGAAGGATTTCATTTACAGAGTCACCACTGTCACTTCTTGAAGCATTTAGATGGTTCTTAAATGCTTCCCAACCAAGTGGTAGCACAATCCCACTCACGCCTCATGAGAGATCACAGCCCAAGATAACAAGCTTGTATAACCCAGGGATCAGTGTGTGTTATGTGTCCCTCTTATGCTTAATCCACAAAGGCTGGGGATCTGTTACAGACCCCTTCCCACAGAACCTTGTTATTTAGCTCAAGCTGTAGCAACTCGTGCTTTTGGCTCTGGAGGTCCCAGGTTCAATCCCTGGGTAATAGCTAAAATAGTGGCTGGCACACCTCCAGGCCATAAATTAATTGATTAGGGAAGTGCAGATATTTTAATTTGAAACAAAGGATAAAAGTACAAAGGGCCCAATAAAGCATAAAGAGTGTGTCTCTGGTGAGGGTCCCTCAGGAGTCCCACTGGCCACCTGACCTTCAGAGACCTGCCAGCATCTGTGCTTCCTCTGGGGTTCCTGGGAAATATCTATCCCACCCTGACCACTCAACTCCTCCCCCTTCCCAGAGTGTAAACTGCACTTGAGTTTTAGCCTGTGCCCCAGGACAGACAAGCTAGCTGAGGTGTAAAGCACCACCACACTCGGCTGAGAGGGTGTTGTGTGTGGATGGGAGCCAGATTAGGGACAACATCCAGGTAAGAGCCTGCATTAGCTCTGCAGTAAAGAAAAATCTTCGGACTCCAGCCAACCCAGCTGCCATGTGTGGCAACCAGGTGTTGTGGAATGACATCAGTGAAGGCACTGAGCGTGAACAGCAAGAAGGCTTAGCAGGCTGATTAACAGACTGGGAGAGACTGGGTAGGGTTACACAATCACTGTCCCTTGTTGACAGCCCTAAAACAGGGCTCAAACAAGGAGCTGAGCCAGGAGCTCATCAGGCAAGGTGTGACCAGTGTCAGATGAGCGGGGAGGATAAGAGCAAACCCTTCTACCACACCTATTCCCATTCCTCGAAAATACAGTTCTCTTCTTTTCTTTAAAGAAACAAAATTAGGGCTCTTGGTCTCATTTCCTCTCTCTCTGCCTTGGCTGAAGCCTTAGGGCTGTAGATATTGGGGCGTTACAATGAGTGAGAAGGAGAGGAGAGGAAGTGACCTGGGCCCCGGTGGCTTTGTTACTGACTTGTTGTGTGACATGTGGTGAGTCATTTGACCTGCCTTTGTCTCAATATACCTAAGTGTAAAACAGACACTAACACTTAGCTCCATCCCAGGCTTAAGTCATTAATGCTTGCAAAATGTCTCCATCCTTTGATGGAGAGCCTTGCATGAAAGTTGCTGCATATTACAGGCACATAGTGTTACCATCTCCTTATATTAAAAGCCTTACATTTAAACCGTTGGCAGGTGAGTGTATGTCAACAATGAATAGCAATAACTAGAGGAGTCTTGAGACCATCCAATTCAATGAATTCCAAGTGACTGGACAAATTAATGCCAGATAATAAGAATCATTGTGCTTTAGAATACAGCTCTCTAATGCAAATGTGAAGGAATCGAACACTGAAATAGCCAGTCAGCCAAATTCATCCAGGAGGTCAGCGGAGTTACACCAGGAATGAATTTGCCCCAAGTATCTTTAAAACATTCCTTAAATTCTGTTCGGCAGAGCAAAATTCCCAACTCCACCTGTGGTCACTCCCAGCTAGTAACTTTCTTGGCTGCAGATCAGTAGGGATCATAGAATCATAGAATAACAGAATTGGAAGGGACCTCTGGAGGCCATCTAGTCCAACCCCCTGCCCAGAGCAGGACCAATCCCAACTAAATCATCCCACCCAGGGCTTTGTCAAGCCTGACCTTAAAAACTTCTAAGGAAGGGGATTCCACCACCCCCCTAGGTAACGCATTCCAGTGTTCCACCACCCTCCTAGTGAAAAAGTTTTTCCTAATATACAACCTAAAGCTTCCCCACTGCAACTTGAGACCATTACTCCTTGTCCTGTCATCTGCTATCACAGAGAATAGTCTGGATCCATCCTCTTTGGATCCACCTTTCAAGTAGTTAAAAGCAGCTATCAAATCCCCCCTCATACTTCTCTTCCGTAGACTAAACAATCCCAGTTCCCTGAGCCTCTCCTCATAACTCATGTGTTCCAATCCCCTAATCATTTTTGTTGCCCTTCGCTGGACTCTCTCCAATTTATCCACATCCTTCTTGTAGTGAGGGGCCCAAAACTGGACACAGTACTCCAGATGAGGCCTCACCAATGTCGAATAGAGGGGAACAATCACGTCCCTCAATCTGCTGGCAATGCCCCTACTTATACACCCCAAAATGCCATTGGCCTTCTTGGCAACAAGGGCACACTGTTGACTCATATCCAGCTTCTGTATCCTATCCCTCCCCTCCAGCGTATCTACCACTCCTCCCAGTTTAGTATCATCCGCAAATTTGCTGAGAGTGCAATCCACGCTATCCTTCAGATCATTTATGAAGATATTGAACAAAACCGGCCCCAGGACCGACCCTTGGGGCACTCCACTTGATACCGGCTGCCAACTAGACATGGAGCCATTGATCACTACCCGTTGAGGTCCTTTCCCACTTCTGGGATCTCCCACGCTTGTAAGTGGAAGGTAGAGGAGAGTCCTACCTCTGCAAAACCATCCACAGAGCAGGAAGAGAGGCCTAACTGAGTTGCCCTCCTCCCCAAACTCAGTTCCTCTTTCCCCAGTCCCCCCAGCCCCGAAGAAAGGTAGTGGGGCACATGGTCCCAGCAGTTCCCTGTCCCTCCCAACAGCCCCACATCATCTGGACTCCTCCACAGAATTTCACAGCGGGGGAGGGAAGTGGTCTTTTCAGAGGGCCCCAGCAACCTCCAGGAAGGAGAAACTCAACAGCAGCAGTGGAGGGGGCTACCTGTGCCCTGGCCACTCAATGAACCAGCCCCTAGGGGCAACACAGTTCCAGCAGCCTCCTGCCCTCTTCCAGCAGCACTATGTGACAACCCTTGTACAGTCTCTGGAGCCCTGATGTGATCTGCCATTCTGAGCTCTATGAGCTGTTTTGTGGGACTAGGAGACTGACTCTTGTGGTGTGTCTGGGAGGACACTTCCCAATGCGAGTAGAAAAACACATGCTAGCTCTGTTCAAGTGAATGTGCTGAAAGTAGCAGTATAGCCAGGGGATAGCGTGGGTGGAGGCTTAGACTAGCTGGCTGAGTACGTACCCAGGGGGCCTGGGTGGGCTTGTACTCCAAGCTGTCCTTCCTGCGCTACCTCCAGCTTCACTGCTATTTTTAGTACACTAGCTCAAGCAGAACTAGCGTGTGTCTGTCTACTGGCGCTGGGAAGCGTGTTGCCAGCTGCAGTGGAGATGCACCCTGGGTTGTGACAGGTATAGGAAAGGGAAGGGGAGTTAGATGATGGGCAGGTCCCACTGGCATCTCCATAGCCCCAGACTGCCATGATATCAGAGAACACGCTGAGCTGATCAGTGGACTTTCTGCACCCTGGCAGCTGCAGCTATCTGCCACCATCCCCAGACAGCAGCAGAGCGTGGGGAAACAAGGGGCCATAGTGACCTCACAGTCCCATGTGGGGCAGGAGGGGGTAGGGGGTGGGGGTTGTATAGGGCGAGGCAAACCATCTGAAGGAGCTGCGGGGGCAGTTCAGGTATATTTAAATGAACTAATGGTGCTGAGTAAAGGGGCAGATGGGGGGAGTCTATGCAGAGGGGGAAAACAAACACATTAATTAATTAATTAATTATTAATACAGAAATAATCAACCATGTGCCAATGGATCACTTCTTTGGGGCTAGGGTGTGCCGTGCAAACATAAAGGGGTCACAACAACAGGGTTATGGTTTGATAGGGAATATTTTGAATTATTAACTTTTTTTAAGTTTCAGTGATTTGGGGCCATCAAGTGACGCACATTGCCAGGCTGTGTAGCCATGAGATCTTATTGCTGTAGTCCTCTTTCTTCCCCTTGTGCCCCCTTCCTTCTGCTCTTCTGTATCGTTTGCTGCACTCACTTGTTGGCTGTTGTCTTAAAATATGCCCTGATCCTCCAATGAACAAGACGTGAGCAGGCAGTTGTGCCCATCCAGAGCCCCATAGTCATCAGGGGGGCTGCACCCTAGTACAACAGTCTGCCCTTATGCAGTCTAGTATTGCAGGATTGGGGCATTGTATTGTAAGCACCTTGAAGCAGAGAAATATGTCTTGGTTTGTGCCTGTACAGCAACGAGGACAAGGGAACCCCAAACCTGACAGGGCCTTTGGGAACTGCCATAATATAAATAATAGTGAGAATATTAGTAGTAAATACCTCATCTGCATCAAGACCTTTAAAGTTTCACTCACTTTGTTTCCAGAGAAATTTAACAAGGCTTGTCATTGAAACTGGGGAACTAGAGTGGATCTACAACCCTTTCTCTTTTTTCCCCCTCAGGTTGCTTTGCTACCAAACAACGCTGCGGACCTTAGCAAACAAATCACTGGTGAAAAGGTGCTTGCATCTAATGCCTATATACCAGGCCCCCCTGGGCAACCAGGACACCAAGGCCCTCCAGGTAAGATGCAAGCCAGGAGAAATCAAATATAAAATAGTGATATGAACAAAAAGCGTTTCATTTAATATGATTCTAAGTGTGCAACATTTTTCTTTTAAAATTGATTTTATCTGCCAGTCCACCACATCACAATCTGACAGTGCCTTCGATATCTTTCCCATTTTCTCTTCATCAAACATTTCCTCACATACACGTCCTATAGATTTTTTTTTCCCATCTCTTCCTGGGGTATCTCGTATATTTCAGTCACCATTTTTTATTTTTGTAACTCAGCCTGAAACTGTCCTCACCTCATTTCAGAAATGCCTGTTACTTTAGCCCATTCTCATTAACGCAATAGGAAATGTGCTTTTAATTTGCAAGGGTTCAAACAAACCTTTTTCCCATGATATTTTTGCATGAATTCATTCATTGCTTTAGTGCTGATTTCTGGATTCAAATGCATTGAAAAACAAAAACAAAACTCCACTGACACACTTTGCATTTTGTCTCATGGGGTTGAAACCATGAGAAATCACAGAGTTTATAAGATTATAATTCAGCCTTGCTACCTTGAAGCTAAGGTCAAATATGCTAAAAGGTTCACTAACTTCAGTTAACTTAGGTCTAATTTTGGATTAGTAACAAACCCAAGAGAGTTTTACCTGGTTCTGGGTTTCATTAGGAAGTTTTGCAGAGTTCTAGCTGTATTCCTTAGTTGGCTTGATTTCTTATCTACTTAATTGATTCCTATCATTACAGTCTCCTTTAGTCTCTGACAGGTTTCAGAGTAGCAGCCATGTTAGTCTGTAGCCGCAAAAAGAAAAGGAGTACTTGTGACACCTTAGAGACGAAAGCTTATGCTCAAATAAATTTATTAGTCTCGAAAGTTAGTCTCTGAGTAGAAGAAATCTTTGCTTTATTTTCTTGGAGGAGAGTGTCTTCAGTCTACGGTGTGTCATCAGTGCAAAGACAATATTGTTTTAGACACTTCTTCTGGCTAAGACTCTGACTGCAATGTACTGTTTATTATCTTCTTGAAATCATTCTGAACAAGGCTTGACTGTAGTCTCTACACTTCTTCCATCTAGTTTCTCAATGACCTGCGCTGTCCAAGGTACTGTAGAATTATCTTTTTCTAGTTGAAAACTACCTATGCTAATCTATTTCCTATGTGATTAGTGAACAAGTAGGCTGGGATTTTCAAATGGAATGACACGCTAAGTCAGTGGGAATTGGGTGTCTGGTTCCTTTGCAAACCCTAGTCATAAACATTTTTAGTTCTGTTTTCCACCTCAGTGTTTGACTTTCATTTCTTGTGCCCTTCATGTTCATGCACTGTGAAGAGGAATGCATCATCTGCTGGTTATAAAGCAGTTCAGCCAGATATCACATTAGTGTTGCTTATTATGAGAACATTGTTTGTTTCCAACATGATGCCTACTTCTGAGAGGCAAAGAAAGGCAATGTTTCTATTGACCTATATATAAACCATTTGTCTTGCTTCGCCTCTTAAAAGTATATTTTGTACTGAGTCAACAGTCACCTTGTAGCTGATGAGTATAAGAAGTGGAATAGAAGAACAGTACACGTTTCTGCTCATGTATCAGGTAGAAGAAAGATGCAACACATCACCAATAAAAGTGGGCTAAACTTGAAAGTCCTGATTGTTTCTGTGCCTCTCCTCTGTAGAGCCTTAAATCCACCATTGCTGCAAGTTTGCTGATGCTTCCTTTTTTACAAAAGGTTTTTCTTTAGTTTAACTTGCCCATTTGCTCTTTGTTGTGTTAGTATTGAGACATTTCTGCTTTTCTCTTCATTTCCCACTCTTCATATCCCTGACCACCTGTCTGATAGCAGTTGTAGTCTAGTTCTGTTCATGAGGTTTCCTTAATTAATGTTTGTGAAGCACTTTGTGATGCTGGGATGAAAGTGAAGAAAGGTGCTGTTGCTCTGAATAATGGAATTGTTCCTGACTGCCTTATTGCTGTGTTTTGGTTTTGTGGAATTACTGCAGCTCATCAGTGAAGTACTATCCTAAAGAAAAGAGAGAAAGGAAAAGGGAATCCATTAGGGAAATTGTATACTTTGCTGCTTACATTGATACACTAATGGAAAGTCTCTAACTGGGTATTAACCTTCACTGGATCACTTTTAATTTATAGGGGCCCCGGGACCAAAAGGAAGTCCAGGATTTCCTGGCTCACCTGGACCTCCAGGCCAACCAGGTCCTAGAGGATCAATGGGACCCATTGGACCATCGCCTGATATATCACATATTAAGCAGGGCAGACGGGGCCCAGTGGTCAGTATTTTACTTTCCTATCAAGAACATGCAGTGTGTCCCCCCACCATCCACATGCATACACAAGCCTTTCCATTCTTGTGAAAACCATTCCTTTGTCTTGCAGGGTCCGCCGGGGGCACCAGGGAGAGATGGTACCAAGGTGAGGCCAGAAGGATTAATCTTTTCCCGTATGCATACATCCCCCAATCGCTATCATCAATCTCACTGATTGCTATTGCAGATCAGTTTATTCCAAATACTAAGATCATTTTCCTCTCCCACTGATTTGATCATGTTCCACCCCCCGCTTCAAAGACCTTCCACATCTTTCTCTGTTTCCACATCAAGTACATGCTCCTTACCCTCACTTTCAAGACCATCCACGCATTTGCACCCATATCCTCAGAGTCTCTCTCTTACTCCCTATGCACTGCTGAATCTTCCCCACCTACAAATCCCTTTGTGTCCTCATCCTACTCTCTGTTTTGTGCTTTCATTTATGTTCCCTGGCTCTTGAAAATGCTTATCCCCTCTTCTATGCTGAGCATCTGCCCTTTCCTTCTCTATATCCTTCTTTAAAGAGGACAGTGATCAATTGTCCTCTATGTTCACTGAGAGCAGGACAAGAAGTAATGGAATTAATTTTCAGCAAAGGAGATTTAGGTTAGATATTAGGAAAAACTTTCTAACTAAGAATAGTTAAGCTCAGGAATAAGCGACCAAGGGAGGTTGTGTAATCCCTGTCATTGGAGGTTTTTAAGAACAGGTTGGACAAACACCTGTCAGGGATGGTCTAGGTATACTTGATCCTGCCTCAGTGCAAGGGGATGAACTAGATGAACTCTTGAGGTCGCTTCCAGCCCTACTTTTCTATGATTGTATGACCATAGCAGAATATTAGAATCAAGTCCTTCATCGGGTATCGGGTCAAAATGAAACCTGATTCACAAGGTAAAACCACTGCTTTGTTTTATCCATGAAGGGTATTTTCCTGCAATTGTTTTGCAATGAAAACCCCCACTGGTTGCTGGAGGATTTTTTATAGGATAATTACGTTGCTGAAGGTAACATTTTCAAAAGCACTTAAGTGACTTGAAGCCTAAGTCCCATTTTCAAATGTGACTTAGACACTTAGCAGCCAAAGGCCTATTGACTTTTTACATAAACTTTCTAGCAACATGCTTACAAATTGTGTGCTCAAGGAAAGATGGAGCTTAAAAAAAAGTATTTGTGTGGGTAATTTTATTTTTAACAGCTGGAACATAAGTGCTCCTACAGGTAATTGTTTTTTATAATGGGATGGCCATCTTATTAAATGTATACATATTGTGTGTGGAGATATCTGTCTCTGGGCCATAAATAAAAATGTATTTTAGAAAAGATAATCACAGCCATTTTGGAAGTAATCAACCAATTTATCTTTAGATGCTCTAATTACTTCTATGATATGAAACTTCTCTTCCTAAAATCCCTGTTGCAAGTGCTCATGTCTCTCTCACTTCTGTTGTTGCATGCATGAAATGCATTGAGTTCTTCATACTGATTTCTGATCTCCGTCTTCACCCTGATGCAATTTCTGCCGCTTCCATCTGACTGATCCAAGTCTTCAAATTCCTCACTCTTTTCTCTTGGTGACTATGGCCCAGGTACACAAAGGTATTTAGGGGCCTAACTTCCATTAATTTCCATGGGAATTAGTTACCTAATACCTTTGAGTATCGGGGCCTATGTCCTTCTGATCTCTTTTTTTCCTGGGGTTTCTTTTTTGGTTGTTTTTTTTTTTTTGTCTTGATTTTCTATTTTAAGAGATTGTGCAAATCTGTCATTTCTTGTTAATCTGAATACCTTCAGAAAAAAACCAAATTGTATTTGGAAAACTTTTATCTTACATGTATAACAAATGGTCGCAAACACTTAGTTTTACATGTGGCTGGTGACCCAAAACATCAGCTCTTCAATCAAATAATGATTACGGTGCTATGATAAGTGAGTAAAGTCTTTCTCCTCTAGTGAAATGTGACTTCCTCTGTGGTCAGTACTCTTTCCTTGGTTGTAGTTTTTCATGATGAACTCTATAAATTATAAAAATCCTTAAGAACCAGCACCAATTTTGACTGACAATTACTATATATTATTTTTAAAATAACTTCAGGCTATTGGAAAGCTACTGGTGCCATTTTGTAAACCTTGTTTTCTACAATCCTTTCAGAAATTGATTGCTCCTGTAGTTCCTTGTGGCAGCCAAGATTTGCAATTTTGTCTTCAGGGGTTTTTAATAGGGGTGTAAGTTTACAGGTTGCTGAGTGTGGTTGTGGAAAGCATGGAGACGCAAGCAATAATGTGAGTAATTGCTCTGTGCTTGTGCTTCTGCCTAGTGAGGAGGAATATGTGAAACCCTCTACACCTACAGTAAACAAGCCCCATTGAATTGGGGGAAAGTGGGTGAGCATGTAGCCAGGGTATCGGTTCTTAAATCCAGTGACTTCAAAGTGGGTGCATAGCAGCCACTTGTAGGAATTTCAATTACTCCAACTGCCGGCCAGGAGTAATGGACATTTAAACGTGCTTCAGAGTTGTACATAGAAGTGACACTTGAGACAGCCTTGAAGACCAGTCTCTGACAAAGAAATATGTCTGAGGTTTCCATGCAACCCCTAGCTCTCACAGCCAGCTGCTAGTTCCCTCATGGCATATGCTGGGCAAATGTTCTAGCTGGCCTACTAGCCTGTAGCACCTGTGTAACCCACTGGTCAGAGCATGTGGCAGGTCCGCAGTGTGCCTGGGATATGAGTCTATTGCAGACTGAACTAGGGAGGATTGGCTCTTTAGGCCAAGCTTCTAGGAGCTTTTGCTTGAAGTTCTGGAGGTCCCTGATTCAATCCTCAGTGTGTAGGCTAGATGGAAGCTGTCCTACCTGTTCCTCTTATTTTACGTCACCTTATTGGATGAAGCCTACAGTTACCAAGGGATTCTTGATCCACAGGGATGAATGAGTGCCTCAGTTGAGGCAAAGCTATGTCATTTTCTGCTTGCTTTAATCACAGCTAATTAAAATGGTATTTATTACAGGGGGAGAGAGGAGCACCAGGACCGAAAGGGCCACCTGTAAGTATCACTGCCAGCCACCTAGGATTCCCACAGTAGAGAAAGGACATGATCTAGTAACAATGTCACAGTCGGATACCTATAGTGAAAGCAATCCCTCTATGTCTCTGTTACTGTATCAGGATTTTGTACCTAAAGATTTCATCAAGCGTAACACTTGTCTATGTACCCTGTTCTCTCTTCAGTGGATACATTGCATCACAATGCCATTATGGTGTACTGTACATTGTTAGAAGGCACTATCCTGGGACATCTCCCACAGAACTAGTTAGCTTAATAATAGTAAACGGCAGTAACAGGTGCCTGATTGGAACAGGATTAGCAAACATTTTGCTTAAAAGGAACACCATCCAATAAGAAGGGATTAATTGGGGTTTGGTGCAATTAACAAATAAAGATTAAAAGAAGAAGAGAGAGATATGCAATGCAGAGTATTTGTTCTCATATACTTATTCAGTCAGGGTGAAATTCAGTCCTCTGCAGCAGACCAAGCACTCCCAATGGAGTTAGGCACTGGCGTGAGTTTGAAAATCTCACTAGGCACCTATCTGCATTTTTAGCTACCTAAATACCTTTTAAAAATCTGGCCCTTAGTCACCACTTACATCCTCAAAATAGGACTTACCTGGGATTTGAGTGGGACGTAGCACTGGACAAAGATGAATATTTGCAGCCTGTTAAATCCTTTCAGACTCTTGTTTCCACAGGGCAGATTCTTAAATGGATGGTCCACCAGCGCGTCCACAATCTGAGGATGCCACAGTGTACTTATCCGTGTGAAGAGAACTTAAAAACCATTATGGTTTTGTCAAATGAGATAAAACCAGATGGAAAAACATTTTTACAAATGGAAATGTATTTAATAATTGATAAACAGCATTTGGGTCACAGTAGAGAAACTGATTCATTTTAAAATTCAGTTTCTCCTATTGATTGTGTTTTATTATAAATCTTCCATTCATAAAAAGTAAGTCATTTATTTTTTAAAATAGAAGGAGCATGAGGAAAAGAATCTCCTCTGAACTATGCTCTGTGCCTGCTCAGTGCAGAGGACTTTCCTGAAATGATGAGGGCTGATGCCAGAGGGGCTCGGAGGCATTGGCTACTCTCAGAAGTGTTCAGCATCTTGCAGGATGGAGCCCTGTCTGCTAAACACATTTACCATTTGAAGCTGCTTTTCTGAGTTATTCCAGGTTGATTGAAGGGGAGATGTTTTATTTCAGGCAGCCAACACCAAGCAATGTTTTGTTAAAGTACTCCACCGAGCATAAGTACGTTAATATTTGGGCAGTGCTTGGAAAATATCAAAGCCCTAAGTAACAGGTATTATTAATGATCACACGTCATGTTTGCAGGGCCCACCAGGCTCATTCGATTTTCTGTTGCTGATGATGGCAGACATCAGAAATGACATTGCTGAGCTGCAGGAGCGAGTGTTTGGACACAGGACTCACTCATCAGCAGAGGAGTTTCCATTACCTCAGGAATTTACAAACTATCATGACACAGTAGACTTTGGCTCTGGAGAGGACTACAAGCAAAGGATTGCACCCAAAGACTCTAGGATGCACAAAACAGCCCATCATTAGCTAGGTTTGGTTATATATAGCAAAGAGAGATGTTCAGAGTTGTATAATATAAAAATGCACTGATGATGTAAAATATATAGATAATTTTCCAGTTTTCTCTTTTCTTAGTCCCCATGTACTGTAGCTTTCTCTATTTACAGAGACATCTACTAGTGGTGGTTACATACATTCCAGCCTTTGTCAGTTTTTGTGCTTCGTGTATGTAGACATTATTGTAATAGAAATTAGTTGGCTAAGTGTCAGTCCGAAGTGTCATACAATGAGGGCTAAGGTAAAGCTGGGGGATGTGTGTGTCCTAAAACTACTTCTGCTTGTCCCTTAAAAATACCCCACTGCTCATCCAGTGTAGGCAGTCAGATCTAGTCAGCAATAGATTTCTGGCTGTGCAATGAGAGAATATGGTCTATATGTGATGTGGGGGTGGGTAAGGAAGCAGGAAATTTACTAAGAGGAAGAACTGGTGTGAATGAGACAAGTTTGCTGATTCACACAGATAAAATCAACCAACCCTTGGTGGTGGCAAAATGACTGTCAGGTTCAGTTATCTGAAAGGAGTGGCAATATACATTGTGGATGACTTGGGGTACACTAACTGATTCTGATCTCACTTACACCCGTGAAAGTCATCCCATTGAATTCAACAGTGATACACTGATGTATATGAGATCAGAATGAGGCCGAATGTTTGCAAAAGAATTTTCATCCAAGTTGTTTCTACCGACTAGCACTAGCATCTGCTGTCTGAGTTGAAGGTAACTGACATTCTTCTAAGTGTAATATGTCACAAGAATCTTTGACTCAGTATATAATGAAGAGCAGTGAATAAAGGAGTACATATGACCAAACACTGTCGCTGGTGCTTGGGATGGCATGGGTGAACTCTGGAGAAAGTCACGTCACTGTCCTGGGGCCAGAGAGAAAATCGTTGTTTGAAAGCGGGATTGAAGAATTAACAGGGAACTCATTCCTCACACCTTTCCATACTGAAAAGTTGGATCGACAAGTTAGCGTACCCCTAGTCATCTATAACGTATATTACCTCTCCGGGAAGATTCCTGAACCTGGCAGGCACTTTGCCACCATTATAGTCTACACAGTTTTTCCAGTGTATTAAGCACAAGCATTTTATTTGCATGGTTCCTCTTCCTACAGTACTTGTAGTGTTAAGACAGCTTCCCTGTGACAAATGCAAAAGAAAACCCCTCATTGCTCCACTTCATCTCCAGGGCTTGTATGTTCTCCCTGGAGCAAGTATGGACAGTGATATAAAAGTATGGACAGTGATATATATATAAGCAGCACCTTTCCAAGATGCGTGGGTTGGTTGGGGCTTTTTTGGGGGGAGGAGGGGGGTCTCCTTTCATGTCTCCCTTCCAGAGGGCAATTACTGTAATTCCTATGCCAGTAGTACTGTCCATGTTGGCTACCCTGCAATTAAAAAGCCCTGGCTGGTCCATGCCAGCTGACTCGGGCTCGCAGGGCTCAGGCTAAGGGGCTTTTTAATTGCAGTGTAGATATTCAGGCTCAGGCTGGTGCCTGGGCTCTAGGATCCTGCTTGGTGGGAGAGTCCCAGAGCTCAGGCTGAACCCCGAGCCTGAACGTCTACACCACAGTTAGCCCGAGTCAGCTGTAACAGGCCAGTCACAGGTGTCTAATTGCAGTATAGACATACCCCTACTATATTAACCATGTAGTTCAAACTCTTAATATTAGCCCTGCAGTGTGTCAGCAAAGGAGCAGGGAATCTCAGGAAATCTTGAAATTTGCGAAATTTCTTTGCAAATTATCCTCAGATACCTTTTCAATTCCTTCCTATGGGTATATTTCTGCAGATCATATGCAATATGTTTTTTCTTCATTCCTGTTTTCTTGATCTTTTGTATATATCCCAAATTAAAAAGAACTGACTACATAATCAGTAAAGGTTAGGCTAATTACAGTAGCTCATGGACCTTCAATGCTCTGAAGAGTTTTGTGAGCTGCAGATTGAAATATTTTGAGAACCAAGCAGTGGGGGTTGGGGTTGTGGGAAGGAAGGTGTGTCCAGAAATGGAATAATCTTTGAGTCACCATAATGGAAGACCTAAACTAGTGTTAGGTGAGCTGTATATGGCCCATTTAGGGCTTGTGTTCACTTATCAGGGAATGGACATGTGGTGAATCAATCCACCAGGGGTTGATTTAGTGGGTCTAGTGAAAACCCACTAAATCAACCACCAGTTGCTCTCCCGTCGACTCTTGTACTCCACTGGAATGAGAAGCATAAGGTAAGTCAATGGGAGAGTTTCTCCCATTGACCCAGTGTGGTGTGAACACCGCAGTAAGTCGATCCAAAGTACGACAATATTCACGTAGCTGGAGTTGTGTAACTTAGGTTGACTTAGCCCTGTAGTGTAGACCTACCCTTAGTTAATTTCATGGAGGTAACTATTTATAGTCACAATCTTAAACTGTATATATACCCATACATACAATTATGTCATGCACTTAATCTGCTGGATCAGGTTGATATTCTCCATGCATTAATAACCTGCAGGGTTTTTTGGAACATAAACTACTGAACAGGATGTTTTGGAAATCAATCAAGATTTTTTCCCACCACAGAAAATGTGATCTAAAATAAGGCATTGGTTTTAGTTCTCGGCTTTGTTTTTTCAGTTCTAGGAAAACAGAAAATTAAAGCTTCTGGACACCCAAAGGGACAGATTGCCCTGGTGTGCAGCAATACCCATGGGAGGAGAACTCTGACCCTGAATCAGGAAGTTGCTTAAACACATGCCTAACTTTAAGTGTGCAAGTAGTCCCATTGACATCTATGACATATGTTTAAGTACCTTCCTGAATCTGGGCCTTAGTAAGGTTCCCCTAGTGGAATGTCCATCATGTCACTCCAATTGGTTGGGCACAAGGTTTTCTGCAGGCCCTTGTCCCCAGTGGAACAGGCATGGGGAAGAGCCCCCACAACCTGTGTATAGGGCTCTTCCAGGGGCCAAGGCCATCCATGCCTCTCCCACTCATGCCTCTCCAGCCCAGAAGATAGGGTTGGAAGAGACCTCAGGAGGTCATCTAGTCCAACCCCCTTCTCAAAGCAGGACCAACCCCAACTAAATTATCCCAGCCAGAGCTTTGTCAAGCCAGGCCTTAAAAACCTCTAAGGATGGAGATTCCACCAGTTCCCTAGGTAACCCATTCCAGTGCTTCACCACCCTTGTAGTGAAATAGTTTTTCATAATTTCCAACCTAGACCTCCCCCACTGCAACTTGAGACCATTGCTTCTTGTTCTGTCATCTGCTACCACTGAGAACGGCCCAGCTCCATCCTCTCTGGAACCCCCCTTCAGGTAGTTGAAGGTTGCTATCGAATCCCCCCTCACTCTTCTCTTCTGCAGACTATATAAGCCCAGTGCCGTCAGCCTCTCCTCATAAGTCATGTGCCCGAGCCCCCTAATCATTTTCGTTGCCCTCCGCTGGACTCTCTCCAATTTGTCCACATCCCTTCTGTAGTGGGGGGCCCAAAACTGGATGCAATACTCCAGATGTGGCCTCACCAGTGCCGAATAGAGGGAAATAATCACTTCCGTCGATCTGTTGGCAATGCTCCTACTAATGCAACCCAATATGCTGTTAGCCTTCTTGGCAACAAGGGCACACTGTTGACTCATATCCAGCTTCTCATCCACTGTAATCCCCAGGTCCTTCTCTGCAGAACTGCCCCTTAGCCAGTCGGTCCACAGCCTGTAGCGGTGCATGGGAGTTTTCTGTCCTAAGTGCAGGACTCTGCACTTGTCTTTGTTGAACCTCATCAGATTTCCTTTGGCCCAATCCTCCAATTTGGCTAGGTCACTCTGGACCCTATCCCTACCCTCCAGCATATCTACCACTCCCCATAGCATAGTGTCATCCGCAAATTTGTTGAGGGTGCAATTCATCCCATCATCCAGATCATTAATGAAGATGTTGAATAAAACCGGCTCCAGGTCCGACCTTAGGGAACTCTGCTTGATACTGGCTGCCAACTAGACATGGAGCCATTGATCACTCCCCGTTGAGCCCAACAATCTAGCCAGCTTTCTGTCCACCTCATCTGTGGCAGCCCAGTTCTGGGGAAGCTATGCTGAATGGGCTTCCCTTTTTGGCCACTCCCTTTGTGGCATCCTTAAAAGGAGGGTAACCATGGAAAATGTTACGTGGCCTAAGGTGTTACTTCTTGAGCAAACACGCTGTAGATCTCTGGGGTAGGAGATTTAACTGAGCAATACTTCTGGTCTCATCCTTGGGCTTCCTTCTCCCCCTGCCCCGCCCCACCACAGATTCACAACCCCACAGAGGGCCTTGGTTGGGTCCTAGGGACTTGGGGGATGGTGCTATTGAGCAAGGTCTGCCATTTTCACGTTGCAGCAGGAGTTCCTCTGGCAGCGTGACCTCTTCTGGGATGATCTAGCCCTAGGTGTGCTTACAGAGCAGAGATCTTTGGGAGGGACTTTTCTTCTTATATTTTCAGTTAACCATATGATAGTTTTCACAATAAAGGAGTTGTAGCAGAAATTGTTCAGTTTAGGATTCTGAGAGAGAGACTTATATACATACACACGCCCACAAATCCTCAGAGAAAAAGGTAAGGTATTAGGTATTTTCTGTGACCTACCTGAAGCACTAAAAATCCAGATAAGATAAATCGATTCAAGACGAGGCTTTTTAAATTGTAAATTACTTACTCCTTTATAATTCTTAAAATAACAAAAAAAAAACAACCAAGTTCCCAACATATGGATACAGCAACAGTCACCCTTCTGGCTAGTTTCATTACTTAGTCTCATGCACATGACAACTTTTGTTTCATCTCCTAAATACCATGTATAATTTCATTAGAAAGAAATATTATTTTGATGAATTAAAAATGTGCTAAGTTTAAAAGAGAAGGATACTAAGGTGAAAAGTTCATTATTTTATTAATATTGGAAATAAATATTTAATTGAAACATTTTCAGACATATGTAGTAATGGGCAGAATTCATATTGTTAATGGGTTGGTATTAGTTTTTAACAAAATTAGATCAACAAAGCTGGAAGAAATTTTTGAGTCTCCCAACAGTGTACAAAGTCAATATGAGATTAGCCATTCGTGTAAAGCTGGAATAGTAGAGCAAAAAGTACGGTCTGAAAATGTCCAGTGTAGTCATGGTAAATCAGAAAACCAGGGGGAAAAAAGAAGTTGAAGTAGTGTTCAAGTAATAGCTTGTTGTATCATAGTGTAAAAGAGTCTCTAATCAAGTCTCTTCCTGGTTGTATTTCATAGTTTATAAATTAGAACCCCACTGATGTCATGGCAGATGAGCATTGGGTCCATGAATTTGTTTTTAATTTGCCAGGACTCACAATTTTGTTCCAGTTATACATTTTTTACACTGCTCATGTTATTTATAATAAGTATATGAAATACTAAGATGCGTATAAAAATGATTATATGATGTACTCTTAATAACAAAGATATTTTTCTTATGCTGTTGGGAGTTGCTTTTGTTACAAATCTTTTCCCTGAAACTTTCCAGGTTTTGTTTTGGTAAAAACAAAATGGCTAGGAGTTACAAAAGAATATCAGCCCCCTGAAACATGAGTCAGATTCCTGTTTATTATTTCACATGTAACAAAGTATGTTATACAGGCCCTTCTGTATCAAAATAGAGAAATCTATTACTAAATCTTTTCAGATGGCGCACAATGTTATTCATTAGAGCTGGTCAGAAAATGGGGGTTTTTTTCCATGAAAAATTTCAACTGTTAGACAAAAAAAATCAAAGCCTGAAATTTTTCAGCCAAAATCTTTCAGATCAATGCTGAATATTTCAAATTAGAAATGCTGCCATAGTGCCTCATGGGCATTGTAGTTCAGGTGTCTCATGCCCTCCTTAGCTTCTATGGGCTGGGCTACCTGGGCAGACCACATCTCCCATGATGCACCAGAGTCTCCCCTCTTGCTGAGATGCCACAGTGCATCATGGCTGTCCCAGCTCTTATGAGACACACTGGCAGTATTTCTAAATCAAAATTTTGGGGGTTTTGACCCAAAAAGGAAAACCTTTTGGTTTTCAGGTGGTCAGTTTTTTGACAAAGTGTCAAAATTTTCCATGGAAAGCAAACACCTTTTGTGAACATTTTCGCTTTGTCAAAAAACAAGCAATTTTTCATCAAAAATAGTGTTTATGGGAAATTTTCACCCAGCCTTACCACTCATACCTTAGTAGCACTGTGAACTTCTAGGTGGTCAAAGTCTGATGAATATTATTCCCAACATAAAGCTGCTTTTTGCAGCAATATGTAACACCTGTTCATTTATAACAATTCTCTCTACCAGCGGACTGAATGGGCCTGCTCTCCCTGGACAGAAATCTTTACTTTGGGAAACTAGTTTCATTCTTGTTGGTGTTCCATGTATGTGGCCAGTTGGCAATGTGTGGGTGTGCGCACGCACGCGTACGCACTCATGCATGCACACATGGTCCTGCTTGATTTTGTCAACTGTTATTTGGGAGGAGGCAGCAGGTGATTGTTCCTGTGAGGTCATTAATAATACTAATTCATTAATACCCAGCTCTTACATAGTGTTTTCCACTTTTGATCTTAACTCAGCAGAATATGGTTCACTTCTAAAAGGTGGTTATGTAATCATGGCACCTTCTTATTCAGCTTGGTCCTTTTTTTGTATTCAGAGGTCTATGCACTTTGTTAGTGATAAGAATACAATGTTTACTGCTTTTCTCTTTGACTAGCCCTGCAGAGCCAACACACTTACATTGGAGTGAGCTGGCCATGCTCTCTCTTGTGCAACACCAGCCGAACTATTTACTAAGTTCCAGTCAGTTTCACCTGTGCAAACTCGGTGAAGCCACGGGGATGCACAGGTGTCCATGCAAAAATGGAAGACAGTGAGGATACACAGGTGTAGTGAGAGCCAGGACATTTATAACTAGCGATGATGCACAAGAAAGAAATAACTTAGCTTAACCCTCCATTACCAGTTTGGAGGACTGATGGGGGGCGGAGAAGAGAAACACACCGCCATCTTTTTATTCCACATTCTGGAGGGCAATTAACATGAAACTTCAGGAAGTCATTTTTACAGAATCACTTTTCAGAGTAGATCCACCTCCCAAGAGTTTCAAAGAAATGGGAGTATGATACTGCTGTATCCGCACTGTATTGGTATTAATGAATTAGTACGTACTGCTATATCCACACTGCTGATCTTTAAAAGGTAGAGATATGTGTGTAAGGGCCCTATCGTGGTTTCCACACTGTTCCCACTGTCAAGCTGTCCTGCAGTAGCTCAAGAGCGTAAGCACCAACCTAAGGGCAAGCTGTTAAGAGGCAGGGCCCCAAACCCAAATTGGCCATGATTTCTATACTTCGATTTCAACAACCATTTGTTAAGTGTAAATGCCTCAGGCACGACAGCAGCCTAACCATGGAGTCATAGATAGTCCCCTTGCATACACTGATCTATCTTGTCACCTAGGCAAGCTTGCCTTTGTGATAGATTATCCCTTACACCAAACATCATAGCAGTATTCAGGTTACTCCCAGTCCCAAAGAACCAGTCACTTACACCAAGTCAATTGCACCTTAGAGCTCACACCAAAGATAACACTTGCACCCAATCCTTATAATAAACTATATACAGATTTATTAACTAGGAAAAGGGAATAAGAGAGTTATTGGTGGGTTTATATGTTTGCCTGCTTTACTCTTGTAAATGAGTTCTAATCTTAAGTTTCAAAAAGTAATAGCTTCTATAAGAAGCAAGCTCTATATGTCCTTTAGGGCTATCCCAAGCTGAGGATCTCTTGCTTATGCCTAGAAAACCTTGCCCTTGAGAATCTAAGCAGCATAGAGATACAGCTTCTATCTCTCTGCTGTCCCTTGTCAGGGATTTTTATTCCCTTCCCTGTTCTCTGAGTTGCCAGCTCAGCTGATGGTGGGAATTCATTGCATTCTCCTCTTCATGGGGGAAAGAGAAATCAGTAAAGTCTTTTGTCTGCTTTGATGATCCACAATAGTTTGTCTGGTGTTAAAGGGCTTTCTCTGAGGGGCAGGTCATAACACCTTTTATTGTAGGCCGGCATTTCAAGCTCGTTAATGTCTCTCTCTTGTCTGGTGATTTACACGGTTACAGAGGCTTACAATGCAAATACTCAAATATGACCTTACAGTATGGGATACAGATGTTATAAGTGAGAGCAACTCACAAGCATTCACTTAAGTCTAAACACATTCTTATAACTCTAATACCTATTTTAACAATACTAACCCACAGGTGAGCGAGACTGGTTCCAGCTCTGTATTTGTCAGTGTTTAGTTGAGATGTGTGGACCTCGGCATGACCTGTCACCTAGTCTGCCACCATCACACCCACTAGTGGACTACCATTGGTGCAGCCCAGCTGTTGCTCACAATGCCAATGGAGACTGGCTCCTGAAGTAAGTAACCCCATAGTGTCTGCACCTTCTCAGAACAGGTCTAGATGACATGGTGGTAAAAATGCTGGCAGCTGATTTACAATAGCACCCTGCCACTGTTACCACTGTTAGGAACTCCCACTGGTGCATGACTAAGAGAAAGCTCATTGTAGGCACAGTCTAAATCAGTTCTCCAGGTTTGTCTTGAGATCCCCCAGGACAGATCATGGTGATCATGGCTATTAGTTAAGATTCACACTGATTGTTTTGGTGCTATGGAGTTGAGGTGCTATTTATGAACTCTGACATTACACAGACCAAGTGGGGAAACATTTATATTGTGATAGCACTGTGACTGCAAATTTTGTTGCAAAAACATATGGCTATTGCTCTGGGAATTAGCCACACAGCTCCTGCTGACACTGATAGATAAGGACATGGCTTAAACTATGCGCAAAGTACAGAAAATGAATAGCCTTTGCTTGGTAGCACTAGACGTTACGTTCACAGCACAACACATTGCCTATTGAGAAACAGACTCGTTTCCTCAGGCCATAGACAAGAAGAAGTGAGAGAAACTGGGCCTTTTACCAGAAATCCAAATTTACAATCGCTTTCCATTGGTTCAAGTTGGGAAAATAGGTTTTGAACAAGGGAGCTAAGCTACTTGTTACTACTCCTACAGTAGACACCAGCAGAGGCAAGATGACTGATTCTACAGTCTACTAAAATTTCCACTAGGGTACATAAACCACATGAATTAGTGTGTCACTTAGGCTGAGGGTCCCAAGACGAGTTGTCAATAATCACAGACACGTTTTAACAAAGAAAGTAGCACTGAAATAGTCTGACTTGTTAAGCCAGCACTCAGACGATTCCATCATTTGTGACACCTGAGAACGCAACCTACCTATGGTCACCTGCTATGCAATTAACTGCTCACCTGAAGAGACTTTAGCCTCAGACCACAGCACTGTCGCATCTCTCCTTTCACAGCCACATTACACGTGCCAGTCATTTTATGAGAGTCAGAAACAGTTACATCAAACTGCTAATGATCCCAAAATAGTTTGCATTTGCTTTTACAAATAGATGTGCCTGGTAGATGAGGCAAAGGGCTGTCTTTCAGCATGTGAAGTTAAAGACAGTCTGGAGTACTTTCTTGGCTATTTTTCCTTTTACATTTTTCTCACTGTAATACAGTATTTAATCTGGTTCTCTGGACCAGCTCTGGCTCATCTTAATGACTGACATTGTCACATTTTTATTTAGTAACAATACACACACTGGGCCTGTTTCTGCTCTCAGTTATATACATGCATGAGTGTAAATAAGAGCAGAATTTGGCCATGTCACTCAGATACATTCTTGCCAGTGTTGTAGATGGCGCAGTTACAATCTGTCTTTCCTTTGTTTGCAGATTATATACCATAAAAAGTATATTTCAAAACTGACAAACCTATGTTTAAAAGAAATAGAGAGAGCCAGATGCTGGTACTTTCCCTTTTGAAAGTCTAGAAATGTGAAAGTTGCACAAATTAAATAATGTGAAACAAATTCAAAGAGGAAATAACAGCTGGAAATCATTTTACAATGAAGTGGCTTCAAAACACGATTCTAAAACCACATGAAAACGATAATCAGATTTCTTCTGCGTTTTGTTAACTAAACTATCAGCATCTTGAAGTCCTAAGGCTTGTCATACTCATTATACAAGGTTCAACACAGTCTGTGCATGAAAGCATTTAATGTAAATTAATTTGCTTTATGTCAGAATAAACATAATTAGTCATAGGGTCTCTTTGTTTACAGTTGGCGTATCCAACGTGGTTTGCATTTTGGTGTAGCAGAACAGAGGAGCTACGTTAGGGGAAGCTCATAGTTTAAAATACTGTGAAAAATGTCAATGTCCGAGGCAATATTTATTATCCAGTTGTTAGAATGGGGGCTGGGAGTCAGGAATGCTCTGTCAGAATCCTGGTTCCGACTTCCTGGGTGACCTTGGGAAAGTCATTTACCCACCCTCATCCCTCAGCGTCGCAGTGTGATGGCA